CCGAGACTTCAGCGAATGGGGCAGCATAGAAGCTTTCTAAATAAATAAATAATAAATAAATAAAGGGGATTTTTTAATCTTGCAAGCCTACTTTTGTGGGCCTTTTCCTCTTCCTTTTATCCTCTCCACAATCCTGTAAGGTTAGTTAGGTTGAAATTTTTTATTTAAATGTTAGTTAGGCTGAGGGTCAGTGATTGGCCCCAAATTAGCCAATGAAGTTCACGACTTAGTGAGGACTAGAAGCTGGATCTCTCAAGTTCCTGTCCCACACTCTAGCCACTGCCTTATTTATTAACATTTCTATGCTGCTTTTTGGCTGGAAGGCTCTAAAACTAAAGCAAACAAAACAAAACAATTTTTTAGGGGGTGGAGGAGCAACAGATTATAGGGGATCTTTGTCATGGCTGTTCTTCTCCTCCTTTCAAACAGACCAGGAAAACAGCTAACTAAAAAGCTTTATTATGTGAAAGCTGATGAGCTAGGCTGCCTTTATAGTACTAAAGTGTGGCAGTACTAGAGAGCCAGTGTCATGTGGTGGTTAAGGGTGCTGGGCTGGACTTAGGAGATCTCGACTCTAGTCCCCACTCAGCCACGGAGCCAACTGGGTGACTTTGAGCCAGTCACAGACCCTCAAATGAACCTACCTTACAAGGTGGTTGTTGTGGGGATAAGAGGAGGATAATTATGTATGCCATCTTGAGTTCCTGCAAAGGAAAAAAGGTGCAATATAAAATAAATATATAAATAGGAGACCCCCCCCCCCAAAACCCCCCAACCCAAAAGCAACAAAGAATGTTAGGAAACTGGGAATAGGGAAATGCCATTTCATGATTAGAAGCTGATTCCATACTGAATCTCTCTTTTCCAAAATGACAGGAGTAAACTACATCTTTATAGTGGATCTTCCTGCTTAAGGACTAATTGCATGGAGCATCTGACACTTCCCAATCGGTCCGCCCTCTTAATGTGATGCTGTACCTTCAGATTAATGAGGCTAGGCCTTCCCCTCTCCACATTTGCATGCTCAGTAAACTTCCCCACAGAATTTGAAATTGTTTGATTCTCAATGACAGACTCGCATATGTCTGGGCCTCTTGGCTTTGGCCTTTCAGGTACAGAATCTAACTCCTCCTCTTTGACCCAGAATCTATACTTGTAACCCTTGAAGGCTCTTTTACAGGAAGAACAGGGCCATCTCTACAATCTAAGTACCAACTGCTTGCAAAAAATATGACATGGGGAAGAAGGGTGAGGAATGTGTGCTCCTCCAGATGTTGCTGGAATCCAACTCTCATCAGCTCTGCCCAGAGGACTGCAATGCTGATGCTGTAGTCCAGCAACATCTGGGGAAGTACCAGTTTCCACATCCCTCATCTATGAAGACCTAGATGTTCTAGTGCAATGGAAGGCAGATCTAGGTATCCTATTTCTTCAGTCTGTTAAATGCATTCTGTGACAGAAACATGTTAGCTACTTATATAATTCACACATAGTATAAGACCTCCAGGTAATGCTTACATAATGTGTAAAGCATGATAAATGTTATTGTAGTTCTCATTAGATTACTTAGATGTGCAACTGGCATCACAAATCAGCTATTGCATATCTGTTTTTCATCTTGGACCATTCCTTTGTCCATTTCATCTTGGACCATTTTTCCATCTTGGACCATTTCCTTGGACCATTGGGAAGAAGGTGGTGTTGTGAGCTGTGGTTCTCCCTCCAAGCAATTTGTGAATCTCTCTTTATGAACCTTTCTGAGTTTCTCCCTTGGGGTAGAAACACTGTCAAAGCAGGCATGCCTCTGCTCCACCCACTGTGTACCTAATTGGACTTCTCTCTGATAACCTATAGTGAGAAGATCTCTTCAGGAGGCAGGAGGTTCCCATCAGAACAACCCATTTTAATGTCCTCAGGAGGCTGCAGCTCCTCTCCGATCCCACAGCTGAGTAGACTGTTCCCTTCATCTGCCCTTGAGCTAATCACGCCCCCCCCCCCAACTCCCAATTTATTTCCTGCAGAGTTTGGTGGACCTTGGACCACAGCTTGACTGTGAACCTTTTCAAAAACAGTGTCATCTTCAGGAACTGAGTTGTCAGTCCCACCAGGATGGGTTCCTCCTGGGTGTACACCTAAGGATGTGTGTGCGGGACAGGCGGGGAAATGAAACCTTTTCTTTCTACTACTGGCCCTATTCCCCTTTTCCCAATTAAGTAACATAAATATACAGAATTCTCAGCCCGGTTAGTTATTCTAGGAACATACGATGCTAAAACTGAGTTTAACCTATATGCAGAGCACATCATGAGAAAGGTGGGGCTAGATGAATCACAAGTTGGAATTAAGATTACTGGGAGGAATATTAACAACCTCAGATACACAGATGATACCACTCTAATGGCAGAAAGTGAAGAGGAACTAAAGAGCCTCTTGATGCGGGTGAAGGAGGAGAGTGCAAAAGTTGGCTTGAAACTCAACATTAAGAAAACTAAGATCATGGCAGCCAGTCCTCTTACTTCCTGGCAAATAGATGGGGAAGGTATGGAGGTAGTGACAGATTTTATTTTCCTGGTCTCCAAGATCACCGCAGACGGGGACTGCAGCCAAGAAATTAAAAGACGCTTGCTCCTGGGGAGGAAAGCTATGTCAAATCTAGACAGCATACTAAAAAGCAGAGACATCACCCTGCCAACAAAAGTGCGTATAGTCAAGGCTATGGTTTTCCCATTTGCAATGTATGGCTGTGAAAGCTGGACCATAAGGAAGGCTGAGTGCCGAAGAATTGAAGCCTTTGAAATGTGGTGCTGGAGAAGAGTCCTGCGAGTCCCTTGGACTGCAAGATGATCAAACTAGTCAGTCCTAGAGGAGCTCAACCCTGACTGCTCTTTAGAAGGCTAGATATTGAAGATGAAACTCAAATACTTTGGCCACCTAATGAGAAGGAAGGACTCACTAGAGAAGAGCCTAATGCTGGGAACAATTGAGGGCAAAAGAAGAAGGGGACGGCAGAGGATGAGGTGGCTAGATGGAGTCACTGAAGCAGTTGGTGTGAGCTTAGGTGGACTCTGGGGGATGGTGGAGGCCAGGAAGGCCTGGAGGAGTGTTGTCCATGGGGTCGCGATGGGTCGGACGTGACTTCACGACTAACAACAACAAGATTTGGTCAGTCCTTGAATGGGAGACTGCTGTCCAATGTCAGAAAAATATGTAAAGGTTGCTGTTGTGAGGATAAGGCTGAGAGCAGCAGGAGGAAATGGTGTAAGCTGCTTTGAGTTCTTTAAAAAAGGCAGGATGGAAATAAATAAATAAATAAATAAATAAATAAATAAATAAAGAACAATGATAATAGTATTGAACAGTATAATAGAATTGAATGGTTTTGAATAGTATAACAATATTGAACCTCTAGCAAACATGCATAACATATTTGTTTGTCATTGCTTCTGTTTTTCTTTTTAGAGTATAGTTTGTATGATATGCCTTAAGATATTCCTGGATCTAATTTGCTTTTACAGCATTCATCAAAAATGAACCAAGTTTGATTTCTTTCCAAGGCTTCAGTGGCAATAGCGGCCATGCACTGAGTCATACACCAATATTCCCAAATGAAGTAAAAATACAGCATTCAATCATGTCTTGCAGCTTATCAAAACAAACAACAATTGGGGACATTTCTTAATCAAAACAAATCTGCTGCATTTATTTATATGGGGGGGGGACACCTTGATTGCTAAACTTGTATTTTCTGATTATTCCACCCCATCTCCAAATCCTTAGTAATCTTGAACATTTAAATATTTCTGTAGAAAAATATACATATATTGTGGACAATATGCATGCACAGACTATTGGAAATATTAATCTCCCTCTCTGGAGACTTCATTTGGATGAATATTTTCTGAGGATGATCTGGAATTTAGATTTCTAAGGGTGAAGGAACAGAAAAGGCTGAACAAATTAGGATGCCCAAAAACTACTGCTGATTGAACAAAAAAATTGTTTGGATGCATCTGACACCTCCCAACTCCAAAATAATAGCTATATGCATTCTGGTTGGTTGTAGAAGATCTGCAGTTAACAATGCTGTATAGCTATACGTATGTGTTTACTTCTGCATGTATGCCTGTAAAGCCTGGAATATACCTTTATAATATCTATACTGAGGGTTCTATCCAGATTCATTCATACTTAGAGTAGACACAATGAAATCAGTGGATGTATGTTTGTCGCAAGAATTCCCGTTGATTTCAGTGGGCCTACTTTAACTGGATAGCTGGAGAAGACAATCATGCTTGGGAAAGTCAAGGACAGAAGAATTTTAAAAAAGGAAAACCAAATACGAGATAAACTAGTTCTATAAGAGAAGCCACAGCCTTGAATTTACAAGAGTTGACCAGGGCTGTGAAGGATAGAAGATTTTGGAGGCATTCTTCATAGGATCGCCATAAGTTGGAGGTAACTTGATGGCACATAACTCTAAATATGACTAAACCCAGATGCAATCCAGTAAATAGAAATTCAGCAAAACAAATGATTTGAGGTTAGTAGCAGATATTAAGACTGTAATCAAGTATATGGACTAGAGTTTTGGCCTGTTACTTATATATTTCTCACACGTGCCTGTGAAACCATTTTAACAGAATGCTTTCTTGTTGTCTTTCCAAGGCATATAGCTGACATAGACATAAAACTATGGATAGGTTTCTTTCATTAAAATCAGTGGGTGCTTTCTCACTGACAGCAGTGGACTGTCTATTACATGCTTTCTCTCTCTGCAAACCAAGCTCTCCTGCTTTTTATGGGAAGCTGTGGTGTGTGCATGTGCACGCATGCATGTACAGGATACAGTGTACATACTTCTCGACCAAGTATGTAATGGTTGCCAATATTATCAGGCTATATAAATGACAGCTACACGCACCTTCCTATTGTTGTCTATAGGTGCCTTTCCTCTTTTCTGCTTTCTTCTTTCTCACTTCCTATCTTTCTGTTTCTCAAAGGCCTTTCACACCTGATGATGGGCGAACAAGGTAAGTTTTTTTCTTTCTGGCTTTCTTCATTAGCTGAATGTGGCCAAGATTAATCATGCTTATTCCTAATCCCACTTTGACTTGCATTAACCCACCCGCCCAAAGCAGTCAAACTGCTTTGTGTTTCCTCCATGCCTTACCTTCCATTACTCACTTGCCAAATACTGGGTTGTATGACCGATGTTTAAGAAGATAATCCTGGAAAATCCAAAGTCAGGTGTGCTGGCAATGAGTTGTCGTAATGAAAGCCAAAAGGAAAGAGAAATGTGTGCATGCTCTTTTGCTTCCTATCCATCAGCCTTTCTGCCTTTGTTTTGATATCTAGCATAGTGACCTTCCAGCTTGGTAAATCTTGCCTTCAGAGTTCTCTTGTCCATTGCTGGGCAAATCATCTTCTTCAAGGATGTACTTACAGTTCTTACAGCATAATCCTAGAGACCTGAAGACAAAATTTAGAGTGACAGGTCTTTCTGCTTTCAACCTGCAGTTTAAATACTCAAATACATACAGAAAGCAATGCTCTTATTGGTATAATATAGGACTGGCCTGCCAAATGAGTTTGCTCTAAATCAGAGGGTCCTGCTTTTGGTTTGGGCCAGAGGTTATTGTGCATTGATTGAATCTGGCAGAATGAACCTACTAGTGTCCCAGTGAGCAGAAAGAGGTGATGTACACTTTGGAAAGAAACACAGTGTGCAGGGCAGAGGATCAGGTATCCAGTTTCATTAGTGTGGTTATCACTTCCTCTGGATAAGACAGGGTTAGGGAGGAATGCTGTGCATATGTCTCCATTTTGTTAAGTGGCAAACAGCTTTTTCATGGGCCAGATAAATGAAGTGGTGCATTGAGCATTAAATCTCTGGTCCCATGTGTAACTGAGGACGCATCAAGACAGCTTTCATTTTGATGATCCAAAAGCTCTCCTTCAGTCTCCATATGTAAGGTGCAATCTGCATCTGCTGACTGTGATCAGGGAAGTAGAGAAATGGAGCTGACCTGAGCCAGGGCTATAAAGCCACACAGGAGCACTGTTAAGGCACCTTGGCCTGTGCAGAGACATATTCTGTTGCAGTTACTACCCCATCCTTGCCCTGCCAGCTGATAATCCTGAACGTACCTCACTTTTATGGCATTCCTCAGAACTGAATCAAGATCTGATTTCTTTCCAAGGAATTAGCAACCAGATAATCCATTTGCCAAATATCCCTTTTTCAAGAGAGAGAGAGAGAGAGAGAGAGAAGAAGAAAAAAATGGAATATACATATCGTTAGGTGAGGCCATCACAGATTGGATCTAGTCCTTTTGGGATTGCTTGGTCTAAAAAAAGAAGACTTTTGGCTGAAATGGGTAGTGAGGCAGCAGAGACCCTGCCATGGCATGGCATCAAGGCATTTATGCCTGTTTCCAGTACCCAGGTCTATGTGGGGCTTTGCCAGAAACCCCTTTTGTGAGTAAAATAGCCCTTGCAGCTGAATCCTGCAGAAGCCATTGCCAAGCAGGCCTCGGGCAGGGAGTGATGACTTCTGCACAGCTAAGTTATGTTATCAGTGAATGACAGAGGTCAATGGGGAATGATATCACTGAGCATCAGTATGGAAAATCAGAGGCATCACCCAAGTTTAAGATGGTCAAATGACATGGCTGTTGGCCCAGTGAGCTAGATTTCAGATTCCTGGCGATCACTGCTATTGTTGCACTAAGAACCCATCTCTTTCACTATGTTCAACAAATTTGGCTTGATTCCAAGGAGCTCTCCCCTAGCTTCTCCCTGCTTCTCTTCTTGACCAGTCTCATTGCATAGATAGCCAAGCATGGCACTTAGAAGCCATACTCACCCATTTTCTGTCAGAACTCAAGCTGATGAGAGGTTTGGAGATCAATGAATTCTTCAAGAATGATGGAAAGCTTGAGTTTCATGAGCCAGATTCAGGAAAAACTCCTTATTTTATGGAGTCACATTCATTTAAGCAAGGCCTTTTAGAATGAGATGCTCTGGTCTGCGGGATGGAAGCTATAGCCTATTCATTTGGAAGAGTATCTTCTGATCTCAGCCTACCTTTAATCAATGGTCACAATTTCTTCATTTTGCTACTGTTTGCCTGGTGACTAGACAAGGAATGCATTGCCTCCGGCACCCCCTCCATCATCCTTTCTCCATTTTATTTATGAAGTGACTGTGGGTGTATTTGTCTTTCTAGCTGATTCTTTCCATTATTCTACTCTGATAAAAATTTATATAGTACATGTAAAATGTTGGCTAAGTTGTGTGAATAGCTGTGTATAGAAATACATATTATATACAGTAGAAATATAATATAGAGATACAGTGTGTGTTTATGCATCCAGAACAACCACAGAATGCTACTCATCCTTGCTAGGTGGAAAATATTGAGCAAATATATTTCCAAAGGATAGTAAGCTCCCTTTGCCCCACATTTAACTTTTTCTTTCTTTGTGATTTTGCGTTTGATGTGGTGTGCTGTGTATTTCTGTCATGCTGTTGCATGAGAGATTTGCCATTCTCCATATAAAATTGGAGCAATAGAACTTAAATAGTACTTTTTCATCAGTTTTGTGTGGTTTGTGATTTGTGTGCGTGTGCGTGTGCGTGCTTTGAATGTTCTTTCTTTTGTGCTGTGTTCATATGCTTATTTTGAACTTGTCTTTTGGTGATGTGCATAGTGATCTAATTTTATTTTTATTTTTTAATTTTATCCTTCCTCCTGCTCTTTTCTCTTGCCTTCTCCCTGGTGGATACTTCTCCGTACCTGTGCTTATGTGGACATACAACTTCATACCTTATAGGTAGAAGTAAAGGTAGAGATCCTTTTCTTTTAAAAACTAATGGTTATGATTATTGACATGCTCTGCAAATGTTCAGATCTTGTCTTTTAAAAAATGTTTGTCCATGCTAATATTTGTTTGCTACCCCTAAGGAAACACGTCTTATAATTTATATCACACTATAACCTACCATGTAGCATTTGGCAACTGATTAATATGTAGGATGCTTTATGAGTTTTGTCCACACAGAATATAGTTCAGAGCCAATTAATTGCCACTGTTCCCTAATATCAGCAGTAGAGCTTCTAACTTATATTGCAGTAGCGACAAATAAAATAAAATAGAACAGGCAGCCAGCCGTCATACTGAATATGTCAGTTAGTGCATCAACCGGAGTGTGAGTGTGACAGGGTGTTGTATTGGTGCGCTTGCACTAAAACACAGAATCAGCTGAATGAGGGATACTTATGGCACAAAAGGTTTCTACTTTATGAAGGAACAGTCTGTGTGCATCTGAGTGAGTAGGACACATGGAATGTCTAGCGGGGGAAAGATACAGAATAGACAAATACACGAAAAATGTGGTGTAGCTCCATTGTTGGAAAAATAAGTATATGGAAGAGCGCTATGTTGTGGGAGTGTAGGGGAAGAGGAAGTATTGGTTCTGTGAGAAGTAGACATTTTCTCTTGAATGCACGTATCATTTAGGTGAATCAGCAGGGGTTTGTGGCTTCAGCCTGACCCTCAGAAGTTTCTGCCTATGTGTAGCATGAAGGAAGAGTAGTTGTCCATCTCTAAGCATAGCTGTCAAAAATGCAAAAGAACTTGCAGGCTGATGTGGGCCTTCTGATGGTGTGGTTGGAAAAGGGAGAGAGAAGAAAGAGTGGACAGCCCAAATGAACTCACCCAAATGTAGCCACTTTTTCAGTCTTCAAAGGGATCATTGTTTTCTTTGTTGCCGAATAGATATGTTGCTCGACTCTGTAATGTGTCGTTATGGTATATGAGCACCTTGGAAATGAATGCATCTGTAGCTCAGTTCAGAGGCTTAGCTGGACATGATAGTCTTTGAGCAGGTGTGTCTTCCTCCATGTAAGGTATGCTGTAGCACACAGGAATGCAAATCACGCACTCCATGATTCCTTCCTTTCAAAAACAGTGATGTGAATGAGTTTGCACACTGCCCTCTGTGTGAACACCCATGACATGTGTTATGTTCATGGTGGAAAGAAGAAGCATGTTTTTGATCCTGCAACACACACAGCCTGTTGCAACACAGGTAAGTGTGGAAAAGAGAACAAAAATTAATATTCAGAAGAGACCACCTGACTCCTATAGTTGATCTGAGCTGAGATGATTAACTTCATTGTTACTGTGCATTTCAAATATTCTTCAACAATTATGCCTTGTGTTTCTTAAGTTTGCAGCCATACCAGGATACAAATAAAGCATGGGTATTTCATGCTTTATACTGTTACGGTTTTGTCTTGAATTAAGAAAGAAAGATAATAAGATAGGTCAAAGGAGTAAGTGAATTGGCCATCAGTTCCCTTAACAGGTCCTGCATCAACAGGTTTAGCTGTCTTGCATTTCCTTTTTAGGATTTCATGGTACCCGTCTTTAGAGGAAGCTCACTGCACTTAACAATGGGCTCTGTGAAATAGAGAAGGTGAACCTGCATTTAGAAACCTGGCCTGTATCTGAATGTGTGGCTTAGAATTGAATTAACTGACATGATAGTATGTAAACACAATAACTGTTAAGTAGAATGTGAGCTAACCATTAACACTTGTTCTCATGCACAAAAGGCAACATTATGTATTAAGCTACATTATATAGGCTCTATTGTGTAGCATAATATAGACCAGACAAAATAAAATCTCAACTCTGCAGAAATCTGCAGGACACCCAATATCAGGATAGAAATAGCAAAACTGGTAAACTGGAATAAACATGTGAATTGCATCCACACATAACGATGCAAATTACCATACGCATTACAGTGAGTGACAACATGGAATGCATTGCTTTTTGCAATAAAATGTCTGCTCTGTAAGATGGTATGTTTAGATCTAGAATTGCTTTCTGGCTGTCAATAAAAAGATTTCTAATGTAGAACATTGGGTGTAGAAATGCGCTTGAAAAGTATTTCCAAAGGTGCACTTTGCAGATCACCACATGCAGATCAATTGGGATGTGTATACCTCTTCAGGATGACTGTCTTGGCTTCTGCAACAATCACCTCTTCAAAGAGTGGGGTTATTTTTCATTGCTCATTTAAAGGCTAAGAATAATCAAATGTGCTTGGCAGCAACAGAAACTGAGTATGAAAATGGAGCATTTGCTTGAAAGCTTTTGTTCTGTATCTTCTGTTTGGATCTTATGTTTTGAACTTTGTAAAACCTTAAAATCATATCAGACTGCTAGAAATGAAAAGGAGCCAAGCAGTGGCACTGAGGTTTCTCTTCTTTCTTCAGGAATGAAGAGGAGGGTGGGAATTAAAGGACCATTATATAGAATTTTTCCTAACCCCATTAAATACATGGTGGCAAAAACGATCTTAGATAACTATTTTTTATTTGTTATTGGACTTGAGTTACTCTCTAGTCATGTTCTACTGTATCAATTGCTCTTTTGATAGCTTTTATTTAAGGAAATGATAATTGAGCCTTCTGCCATATATTTCCTCATTCCTTTAGTGCTTTTGTTTTGTTGGTTCTCTTATGATCCCTTTTGGTTTTTTGCACTTTGGTTTCAGTACTCTTTGTACTCTGTAGTCCCTGTATGACACAACTGCTCCCCTGAAAATGTTGATTTGCTTTTTCTGACCATTTTAGGGGTAGGGAGAATTAGAAAGAATTGTTGTTACTTGCAATCAAGTCATCTCAGAGAGAGGTCTTAAATAACTATGGGCCACACACCCCTTCTCCCGTACCCATTAACGAGGGTGGAAACTGCTTCCATCCCATATTCAGGAAGTAAGCAAGACTGTAATGGATCAAAACCATCAGCATCATCCAAAAGTGTTAGCAGTTAGGACCAATGTCTTGCTTAGACATGAAACAGTGGCCACTGGGCATTAGTTCTTAGGGACCATAGGATCCAGTTTTTTTCAGTAGAGGCTCTTTAGTGGCAGCAGAGACTATACCTTCCTCCAAAGAAGCATTTACAACTTTTGAAGCCCAAACAGTGATCTTAGTTCTGACTGTTTATTTCTTATATTTATAAACTGCCCCGTAGCCTGGAGGGTTCTCTCTCAGTGTATAATATTCAGGAGGACTTATTTCTGTCTTTAACTTTGTCACAATCACGGCTTTCAATTTCAAAGAAATTCAAATGATTTTATCTGCAGAATGCAACACAAAGTAGTCAGATTGAGGGCTGAATCAGGTGAACCCCGGAGGTTAAATGCAAAAAGTTGTTGTTGTTATATGCTGTCAAGTTGTTTCTGACTTATGATGATTTCATGAATACCCTCCAAAATGTCCTGTCCTTGACAGTTCTGCTCATCTCTTGTTAAACTCAAGCCTGTGACTTCCTTTATAGAATCTATCCATTTCATATTTGGTCTTCCTCTTTTTCTGCCTGTGGCTTTCCCTAGCATTATTATCCTCTCCAACGCCTTCCCATGATGTGCCTGAAATATGTCAACTTCAGTTTTGCCATTTTTGGCTCCAGGGAGAGTTCTGGATTGATTTGATCTGGGATCCCCCTTGTTCACCCTTCCATTAGTCCAAGGAATTGGCAAAGTTTCCCTCCAGCACCATGTTTTGAACACATCAATTTTCTTCACTGTCCAGCTTTTATACCTGTCCATAGTGATCATATATACTAAGTGTCTAACATGAACTTTCTGTAGTATCACATGTGAAGAAACACGTCATTCTATGCGTGTAAAATCACAACCAAACTTTATGCTACATGTTCAAGTATGCTAATGTGATTATGATTAATGTAAAAAAAGTCTTCCATTCTGTCTCCTTTACACATAGTAATCTATGGCTTGCTAAAATGTATATATGTTGAATACTTTCCTCTTTACAGGAAACATGAGCTTGTAAGTGGAATAACTGATATACTTCTATGTCCAAAGAGAATTAAACCTTTTGACATTAGGTTACATGTAATTTTCATTTATAAGTATCATTTTGTGATGGCACTGATCTTGAGCACAATTTTTTGGAAGTATGTCCCATTTACATTACTGGCACTTGTCCAAGTGGAGGATCAAGGTGAAAAGTATGAATGGCAGGTGACAAGGAGAAAAATTACTGACCTCCTTTTGCATGCTTAAATAATTAGTGGCATTTAAATGAGTTATGTGCAAAATTATTTTCCATTTTGCTTTGCCAGCAACACCACTAGGATTTAAGAGCCTTGTGAATAAGTTCAGCTTAGTAGCCAAGGATTTATGCAAATATTTAAGCAAACCATCAGTGACTAATCATTTTAAAAAGTGCTCTAATAGTGTCTAATTATAAGAGGAAAGAGACAGAATTACATATACACTGCCAGCCTTGGTTATCTAAGATACTAATTTGTCATATAAAATGGATAGAGTGTGCTTTTTCTTCCCTGAAAATCCATTTTGAAACACTTTGGCATTTCCCATCTTTGCTTTTGATTTATTTCACATGTGTGTATCCATCAATCGATGTGCACCATATTTTGGTTTTGTGAAGCAGATGGTATTTCAGATGAATTACTTTCTTTGAATTGTATCTCTCTAAAAACAAAAACAAATTGTTTAACTTTTGAGAAACAGCAAATCCTTAAAATCTAAATGGTGATGTTAAATTCAGAAAAAAAACTCAGTTGAAATGGTTGTATAGGTGACACCTGAAAGATTATCAAACACTTGCCCAATCATGGTTCTAATTGTTGGAGAGGTACTGAAGTTGTGTGTAAATACGGATAAGACATACTGCATGGATGAAGGTACTGTTCAGTGTTACTAGTTTCTATTTTGCTTGTGCTATAAACTTAGGAATAAGAAACCTGGAAAATGTAGGATGCCTTAATGATTTGACTAG